TGATTCAAATGCTTTTAAGAAATTCATTAAAGATGTTGTAGCATCCATGTAACCTTTCATTAAACTGTTCATAGATTTACTCCTTTGTGTTGTAAACATATCTGCCATAAATATTTGCTTGTTATAACATGGTGCCTAACGGGTTAAATTTTTATCTATTTTTCTTAAGTACTTGGTAGTTGATGGATAATTTGTTTTTAATTGTTCACATTTTTCCAAAAAATCATTCTCATCATAATTATTAATACATTAATAAAAAAACTTTATAAATTCCACCTATTTAAATCCTAAAATACCGTTTAAGTTTTTAACCACATTTTTCATGAGATGCCATAAACATAAAGCATGTTTTGTTCTATGCGGCTGAAAAATAAGATCTACTACTTTAATAATAGCTTGATCTTCATCAGTTAGAAATACTTTTGGTGAAGTATTATTAACCATTTTTAGAAAGTTAGTAAAAGTCCAAATGAAACTTTCTGCAGTTTTATCACTCATAATTACTCTGACAAAATACATACTTTGGCCATAATTATTAACCCCAGTAAAAATGCCAAATGGCATTTCAAACCTATTGGTTTTGTAAGTATTGTCAAAAATAACTATATCATAAAAGTGGTAATAGTTCATTCTCTGTTCAGGAAACATCCAAATTGCTTGCCTAAATTCATTTGTTTCAAGATCTATTAAAACTTCATAATAAAATTCATTGTCTTGGGATTTGAGATGTTCCAATTTCTTTACAAAGTCATTTGAATCAAATTCTTGTCTTATTCCTTCTTTTTGGTAAATAAAATTATATAAATCATCATAAATCCAAGTTACAATATCTGAAAATTCTTCTTTCAGTATTGCTCGAATTGTAGGAACATTACAACCAGCACGACGAAGAAGTAAAATTCTTTCTTGAACTTCAATTGGAATTGTCCTTTCTTCAGACATAAATTTGCAAAAAATTCCAGAAACTATAGAATGGTTGTGTTCTAATTATACAGAAATTAGATACCAAAGTCCATTACTAGAATTAAGTGAAGCACAAACTCTAAATTCACAATTACAACGTTATGAAATGCAGTTTCTTTTATTTGGACCATTTAAATTTTTGTCAGGAAAATCTTCTCTATTACAAACTATTGTTCTTTTACATATTTGACCTATAGCATTCTTCTCAATTTTTCCTAAACGAACTTGAAAGCCTTGTTGTTTTGCATATGTTTTAACTGCTATAATAAA